TTGGTTGTCCACGTCTTTTATAAACGTTTCTCTTATATCACTCATCTTTAATCGCTTAATTAAGCTGAAAAGTTAGTTTAAAATAATAATGAGCTAAATGAGTCAGTGAATACTCATACTCCTGAACTACAAATACAAGAAACAAAATAACATGCAGTCAGTTAAGAGCTTCTTTATAAATCAATATTAACATATTATTTAAAGGGTTTATATCAATGTCATATCAATATCATTTCATATGTATACAACTATCACAGGAGCACCGTCTAAAAATTATGTCAATTAAGAAACATCAATATCAATATTCTTTTTCATATACGCGCATTGGTACTTTAGTGTTCTCCCACTAGTCCTATCAAGGGGTGACTCCATCATAGTCAATCATGCACGTAAAAACATTTAATAAAAAAATAATTACTTCTCATTTGCATAGCAGTCAAATCATTCAATACTGATGTGCACACATATCATTCCTACAGTATAAACAAAAATTTAATAGAATTCAAAATCATGAGTTTGTAGTAATTTCAATATAGCTAATTGTAGTACCAATAAATGTATTTGGTCTAATAGAAACAAAATATCATCATAGTGTAAGAACACGAGTACCCACCTCGATGCAGATGATTATAAATGCTCTCTTCACTTATCAAGAATTAGAAGTCTAAAGTCAAATGTATAAGGAATTATTATTCATTTACTATATGTTAATCTTTTTATTAAAAAACAGTTTGCCTTAATTTGACCATTTGATATTATCATATTATTTTATTATTATTTTACTAATCGTTATCTTCATTTAATTATTTCCTTTAAAAAATTTAAGCTTCATAAAATATTGATAATAAAGTTGGTTCTCCTAATATAACTTTCTAGTTATGTAATTTGCACGCGCGCGCACGTATGTGTGTGTACACACATAGTTTTATACATTTATATTGCATGACAAGTTATTATTAAATAAATAATAAAATTAATCACTAACCATTTTTTCTACGCAACTTCTTTAACTTAAAACTTGATTCAATTAAACATTTTTATTAATAGTTAATGATATATTAAATTTTATAAATTTATCATTTTAAACTTTTTATCTTACCTTTGGCTCTAACACCCCTCACAAAATTGCATACGTATAACTGCGATTGGAGACCGTACACAGTTCTGCGTAAGGTCTCCGACTTTTTTTTCACACGAAAAAAGACCGTATGCATAATTTCGTACGCTCTCCAATCACAGTCGTCCATCCCCCCAAAAAGTGTGGTCTGGTGTATGACAGCTGACCACACTTTTTATTATTATTATTTTTTAAAAAATAAAGAGGAAGGGATGTGATTGGAGACCATACGGAGTTCTGCATACGGTCTGCAATCACAGTCTTCCATCTTCAAAAAGTGTATGACAATGGACACAACTTATTATTATATTGTTTGAAAAAATTAAAGATGAAGGGCTGTTATTGGAGACCGTACACAGTCCTGCTTACAGTCTCCAATCACAGCCGTCCACCCCCCAAAAGGTGTATGGCGGTGGACCCCACTTATTATTATTTTTTTTATAAAAAAAATTAAAGATGAAGGGCTGCGATTAAAGACCCTACACAACCCTCCATCCCCCAAAAAGTGTATGGCAGTGAACCTCACTTATTATTATTATTTTTAAAATAAAAATTAATGATGAAGGGCTGTGATTGGAGATCATATGCACCTCTGCGTACGGTCTCTAATCACGGCCGTTTATCCCCAAAAAGTGTATGGCAGTGGGCCCCATTTATTATTAATTTTTTTTTAAAAAAATTAAAGATAAAGGGTTGTGATTGGTCTCCATATGCAACTTTTTTTTCCCTCGCACGAGAGATATGGATCGAGAGCCTGCTTCGACTTCCCACGCACGAACTCGGCTCTCCCTTCTTCTCTACGATGCTCCCTCCTCTCCTCTTCTCTTCTTTGAGCATGGCAAGGCTTGACTTGGTTCGAACAATGGAGATCTCCTCTTCTTCACGTAATCCACACGAGTCTGTCGGCCTGTGACACTGCCTCTTCCCTTCTTCCGCGATGCTCCTTCCCTTCCTCTTCGGTTTTGCTGGCATGCTAGTGCACGGGCTCTCCTCCACCTCTCCCACCTTTCTTGCTTCTCATTCGCACAGGACCGCTCTAAGCTCGACAGAACTCCTTCGATTTTGGCTTGTTACCGAAGTCACTCTCCGATCTTCTGGATAGTAAACTCTCGCCCCTGTCATGTTGTTTATAAAGCGAATATGCCTTCCTGGCTTCCGTCTCATCGCTTCCTCTTCTTTGGCTGTTCATTTCCTCCCCTTTCTTCGAATGCCCGATTTCTTACTTTCTCTCCTATCTTTTTGGCTCTTTGATTCTTCCTTCCCGATAACGGAATGTTAGATACGCGAACCCGTTGTTGCTGCATGTGACAGAGGAAGGCGAGAGGACACCCGATCCCATCATTGTTGTGTGCTACAAAGGAAGGCGAGATGACACATAATCATATTGTTGTTGTGTCCGTTGGGATAGAGGAAGGCGAGGTGGCACACGATCCCGTTGTTACTGTGCACGATACAAATAGCGAGACGGTTTGCTATACTTTCGTTGCTATGTGAGACAGATGAAGGCGAGACGGACTCGCGCTGCTAGCATGGTCGTGAATGTATTATTCTTTTGCAGGAGATTCGAGCACGAGGGCACGTCGGAAGTCCAGAGCGAGTTTTGAATCTCTGTCGAGTCGATCGATACCTTTAGGAATCTCTGTTTGCTTTGGCTTCTGTCTCAATCTATCCTCTCTTCTGTGATCGGTCTCCCAATGGAGCGAGCTTTGATATCAATTTAATACGATTTGACTTCAAAATCGGCATGCTTTTCCACAAAAATTTGGACAAAATGCTATTTTCTTCAATTCTTCAACAACTCAACAAAAATACAAAAGATAAGCTTGGTAGGGAATCTCTCCAAATTCCTACAATTAGAGAGGTAGGAAATCTCTCCCAAACCCTAAACCTAAGGCTCACAATTCAATCTTCATGCATACTCTAACTTTAAACATAATAAGTTTATTTATATCCAATAATAATATAATAAAGACTAAATTGTCTTTATCGTAATAAAGACAAAGTTGCTTTTAGACTAGGTATCGACGCAACATACTATTGATAGAACTTGATCCAACACATCTATTGCGTTGCTTTCAATCTTGTAAGTAATTAATTTTACCTTTTTCCAAAGCTTTAATGAACTTTTTCATGGTAGTCTAAATTTATCCATCTTAAGTCATTGCTATAGTGAATTCATAGTTTTTCATGCATTATATTGAGTGTGAAGGAATTTTATTTCTTCACCCATACTTCTTATGGAGTATTTGTGTCCTTATTTTTTTAATTATTGCATTTTCTATAAACTTGCTATTTATTATTAATATTACTATATATATATATATATATATATATATAGAGAGAGAGAGAGAGAGAGAGAGAGAGAGAGAGAGTCTTATGTATGTCTGTATGTACTATATGTAAGTATATGTGTATGTATGTAATGTTTATATGTATGTGATGTCTATAATGTCTGTTTGTATATTTGCATGTCTGTATGTCGGTATGTATGTATATATGTTTGTTTGTATGTATGTTTGTATGTCTGTTTGTATGTATGCATGTGAGTCTATGTCTGTCTGTATGTATGTTTGTATGTTTATGTGTATGTATGTATATATATATGTTTGTATGTATGTATGCATGTCTATTTGTATGTAGGCATGTTTGTATGTATGTTTGTATGTGTGCATGTATGTCTATATGTATGTGTGCGTATATGTTTGTATGTATTTATTTTTGTGTGTCTGCATGTCGGTATGTATATATATATATGTTAGTATGTAAATTTTTATGTATGTATGTGTGCGTGTGTTTAAGTATGTTTGTTTGTTTAAGTATGTCTGTGTGTGTGTGTGTGTGCGCGCGCGCTCGCGTGTGCGTGTGTAGGCATGTCCATACGTATGTTTGTTGTTTGTTTGTATTTGTGTATGTATGTCTGTATTTATATATTTTTGTATGCCTTAGTGTTTGTACGTCTTTATGTATGTGTGTCTATCTGTCTGTGTTTGTGTCTATATGTATGTATGTATGTATGTGTCAGTATGTATGTATTTATGTATGTCTGTGTGTATGTATGTATGAATGTGTGTATATCTCTCTATATGTACGTGTGCATATTTATATGTATGTATGTCTGTATATGTATATGTATGTATTTATTTATGTATGTATGTCTGTAGGGTCTAGGGTTTTAGGGTTCAGGATTTAGGATTAGTGTTTAGGGTTTAGGGTTGCCTTAGGTAATTCAGCCTAATAAAACACCCTCAAAACACATTCAAACTTTCCCCTCAAATTCTCTTCCATACATCATTAGGAGCTTAACGGTCCCCTCCCAAGGGCTGGCTTGATCCCAGGCAGGACTTGGAATTCTTAAAACTTTTCTGTGCATTTTTTTTTTTGGGCTTCAGATCAAATATACTTTAGAAAACGTTGTATTTTGAAAAAAACATGCGCGTTGTAATCCTGCACACTTGTTCAAACTTAGAAAACAAAAAAGAAAAAACAGTTAAATTTGAATGTAATTTCCAGTATAAAGTCACAGAATTTAAATATAAACTCATAATCGTGCATGATCTCAGCTTCAAATAGGGGTTTGCGAGCACAAAATATAAACTTAAAATTTTTTTTTTTTGTTTGGTCAGGGTAATTGAGCCCAACCAAATGCGATTGTGCTCCAGAGCTTCTCTATCCAACCAAAAACCGGATATTTTTCGTTTCCTCTCCCAATATTATATTTATTAAACCAAAGTGTATATTGTTTATCCTTTCAAAACTTTCTTTTTTTTGCTTTTGGAAATACTCAATTGAATAAAGCACCCTCAATACATTGAGACGTGAAGCGAGTTTATTTTGTGCATTGATATATGGGGCAATCATATATTTTTATTTCTGCTTTTTGCAGCCGCATAAGTTTGGGCTAAAGATGTATGGGCGAAGAGCATCTCAGCTATTGAGGGAATTGGCTTCTTGTGAGGCAGGACAGCTTACAGCTTACAATGTACATATTCTTTTCCTTGATTTGTTTGTGCGCTAATTTAAATTAGAAAAATGTACGAACTTACCATACAATTCTCATGCATTCACTTATCTAACACATAAATTTTGATATTTACATTTATAACATCTTTGTTTTAAAAACCTATGCATTAAAAGGTGTAATTCACTTTTAAAAAGTTATAGTGATATTTTTGATTTGATGTCAAAGATTTGAATGTTATGTATGTAAATATAAAGGTTTAGGTGTTAGATATGTAATTATATAAAGAATTGTGTGGTATTGTCGGCGCTTAAAAGGGGAAAAGTTAATGTTTGGGGGTCGCCCGTAAGAAGCTGTCGGTCGCCAGAATCGAAATCCCGTCGCTTGCTTCGGAAGGACTTTTTAATTTACGTATATATATATAATTTTAGAAAAATATGAAATCAAACCGACCTCATATTTTTCACAGTTTAATTGAAAGAGCACTCAACCTCAAATCTTGTATCTATCCCGAGGGATAAACACAAGATTTGAGGGTGAGGCTCGATCAAATAAACTAAGAAAGATATGACATCCGTTTGGTATGCGAAACCGTTTTATTTGCCGACAAGTTCCCCTATTTAATACAGAAGAATTAAATAGGGTTTATTTTAAGCTGGGTTCGGAAAAGCTTCCTATAAGGGCAAACCCCTAT